TGTTTTAGGTTGTAACCTGGGATCCATATTTCATTGTCCAAGTGATCCTTTATGTGGTCTCAGTGAAAGCCGCGAACATTGCCTTTGCCTCTGCAAGCAGTCCACGGATGAAAGGTATTTTGTTGTTTGTTGCTGGCTTTAGACCCTGTATATTTACAAAGAAGAATGTTATCGGACTGGTGGTATTGTTGGTACTGGGGGGGGATTTTTTTTCCGGCATTAGTATCTGTATCTGTTGGTTTGGAGTGGAGGCCATCGACTGTGGTTCCACTCCAGGAATGACTGGATTTGGTGTATGATTTCTCGCCATTTCCTGTCAGTTTTTTTTTCCTTCCTGGCACTAAAAAACCTCTCCCTCTTGATGCTGTGGCTACCAGGTTTTCCCATGGCCTGGATGTTTTGTATCTTTCTGTCCCCTTTAGATGGTATGCCTGGCAATTTAAGTTATAGCACAGTCTTTCCTGTACTGAAGAGGTACACATTTCAGGTGAAAAAGCTTACAGGAAGGGAGTTTGCATTTTCCTGTTGTCATATGGGCATGGCATTTTCTAGGGTGGTCATAGTTGCACGTCCCATCTGTTTTTCCAGATTTCCCATGCCAGCAGATACCAAGTGCACAGTATGTGCACAGGCTTGGTTTCCGTTTGCCTTGGGTTTCTGTGACTGTATTCCCTGTTGGTGCATGTTTCCCTGTCTTACTTCTATCCTCCCTAGCACCAACAATGGAGCTCCCACCAGTTGTTTTGGTAATATATCCTCACTATTGCTAGTGGAGTCCTCTTGTTTGCTATTTCCTGCGCTATTTCTAGTTTGCAATATTGGTTTTATCTTATCTTTGACTACACTTGTTTCCCTACTATGGCTCCTGTCCCCTATGAGGTCATTTATATGTATTCCTTCCTGCGTATAGTTCCCGACTACCTGGACAAAATCTCCAGCTTCACCATTTCTGTCTCCCAGACAGCATCTCCAGCTTCACCATTACTGTCTCCCAGGACAGCACCTCCCCAGCTTCACCATTACTGTCTCCCAGGACAGCACCTCCAGCTTCACCATTACTGTCTCCCAGGACAGCACTATCAGCCCCACATTTACTGACTACCAGGACTTCATCTCCAGCCTTACAGTTTCTGACTACATGGCCAGTATCAAGGGCAGTACCATTCAGCACAGACAGACTTTTTATGTTCCCATCTGTTGTAGAAAGCTTCCAGGTTGTCTATGAAAGCAGCTTTGATGTTGTCCTCTTTATATACCCTTGTGATTTTAGTCCACAGATTTATCTCATTTGGGCATACCCAAAAACATTTCCCTGTTTTAACACTGCTTGTAGCTAGTTCTTGGATATCTGCACAAGGGGCGTGACACCAATTTCCACACAAATGACAATTTATCCGTGTGGAAGCCCGTTTGTTTGACTGACCACAGACTACACACAGCTTCATAATGATTTGAATGGTTGGTTTACTGCAATTCTACTAGCAACCTCTTGAATATTCTATTAATAACCTCCTTAAATGAAGCTCTAGCTATTTGTATTTCTGTTTCTAACTGTTTTTGTATATTGGACATCTTACCATGCACGTTCCTGATATATATTTAATGTTTGTGTTTATAAGGGCGCCTACAACCCCATCTGTTTACAGTCTGCTTTATTGTCCAACGAAACCGTTTGAAACCAGTCAAGGGTTCGGACCAGTCGATCTGATCTGATCAGTGGGTCGCTTATTTAAAACATACTGGTCGGTGATTTGGGCTAACACATGAAGGATCTACTGGAAATTATCTACCCGAGTAATATGTGATTTGATTGATACAAAAGTATAACTTGCGTGTTGAAGAAACCGGTGATTTCTGGCAGCTCCTACAATGACTAACGGTCGACCTCAACCCTTGTTTATCAATCGCTGTATCTAGCTTTTCTATTTTTTTTCCGTCTCCACCACAATAAATGCTACATTATCACTATAGTTGACTGGTGGAAATTTTGGAGGAAGGACGCTTTTTCTGTAGTAATATTTGCTTCTGGTTGTGTGTATTGCGACCGCTGGTAACTACAGGTTATATGAAATTCACAGTAGTATACGTCTGGTATTTCAAGAAAAAAGAAACTAATGAAAGTCACTCCACTCCACTAAGTACCATTATAATACTGGTTAGTTGCTACTACAACACTGTATTCTGCTATTCACTGGTATCACTAGATTATATGCGAGTACACTAGCAAGCCAGGAAGATTATTAAAAACAGCTGACCTGTGATAAGTTTCTGGCAACTTCTGGCACCAGCCTCTATAGGCTTATCACTTCATTTACAAATTCACCTGTTTTCAAATGACACTTTAGCCTTTATCAACAATATACTAGGGAGCCACTGTAGTATACACTATGTATACTCAATGTTATCAGGGAGACTTTCTTTCCTCTGACACAAAAAGTTCAATTATTATTATTTTTTTCACATGGGACACAGACCTATGATTCCCCTCTGGCAGTAAACTCTGCTAGGTAGTGCACACTAATTCTCCTTTTTTGACTCAGTATATAATATTTTCCGCCCAAGATTGGTTCCAGGCGCTAGAGGGATGTATCGTATAGGATTGATGACACAAATTAAAGTTCTAGCACGTAAGAGCGACCGTGAAAACACCAGAAAACCAGGAGCACAACGAGGCACAGTAAGTGGTAATAGGAATTTGTGTGACCCAGCAAGCCTAATCATATACAGTCTACATTATTTTATAATTTACCATTATTGGTATTTATGCTTAATATTGTAATTATTAATTTAATGTCAGGTCTAGCTTTTTTGTGATAGTAGGGAGTGGGCTTCGAGGGAGTGACAGTTCGGCAACCTGCTGTGACCAAGTCCCACTTACTTTGCCCAAATTACTTGCAGGTAATAATTCAGGTAATACCCTGTAAGCCTCCTGCAGTTAATTTGCTCACATAATAATAATTCACAGTAGTCATGGTAATAAGTTAAGAAGAGAGATGACTGGTATTCCCCGAGCAGTGATGGTAGTCATGGTAATAAATTAACAACAGAGATGACTGGTATTCCCCGAGCAGTGATGGTAGTCATGGTAATAAATTAACAAGAGATGACTGGTATTCCCCGAGCAGTGATGGAAGTCATGGTAATAAATTAACAACAGAGATGACTGGTATTCCCTGAGCAGTGATGATAGTCATGGTAATAAATTAACAAGAGATGACTGGTATTCCCCGAGCAGTGATGGTAGTCATGGTAATAAATTAACAACAGAGATGACTGGTATTCCCCGAGCAGTGATGGAAGTCATGGTAATAAATTAACAACAGAGATGACTGGTATTCCCCGAGCAGTGATGATAGTCATGGTAATAAATTAACCGAGATGACTGGTATTCCCCGAGCAGTGATGGTAATCAAGGTAATAAATTAACAACAGAGATGACTGGTATTCCCCAAGCAGTGATGGTAGTCATGGTAATAAATTAACAACAGAGATGACTGGTATTCCCCGAGCAGTGATGATAGTCATGGTAATAAATTAACAACAGAGATGACTGGTATTCCCCGAGCAGTGATGGTAGTCATGGTAATAAATTAACAACAGAGATGACTGGTATTCCCCGAGCAGTGATGGTAATCATGGTAATAAATTAACAACAGAGATGACTGGTATTCCCCGAGCAGTGATGGTAATCATGGTAATAAATTAACAACAGAGATGACTGGTATTCCCTGAGCAGTGATGGTAATCATGGTAATAAATTAACAACAGAGATGACTGGTATTCCCCGAGCAGTGATGGTAGTCATGGTAATAAATTAACAACAGAGATGACTGGTATTCCCCGAGCAGTGATGGTAGTCATGGTAATAAATTAACAACAGAGATGACTGGTATTCCCCGAGCAGTGATGGTAGTCATGGTAATAATTAACAACAGAGATGACTGGTATTCCCCGAGCAGTGATGGTAGTCATGGTAATAAATTAACAACAGAGATGACTGGTAATTCCCCGAGCAGTGATGGTAATCATGGTAATAAATTAACAACAGAGATGACTGTATTCCCCGAGCAGTGATGATAGTCATGGTAATAAATTAACAACAGAGATGACTGGTATTCCCCGAGCAGTGATGGTAGTCATGGTAATAAATTAACAACAGAGATGACTGGTATTCCCCGAGCAGTGATGGTAGTCATGGTAATAAATTAACAACAGAGATGACTGGTATTCCCCGAGCAGTGATGGTAGTCATGGTAATAAATTAACAACAGAGATGACTGGTATTCCCCGAGCAGTGATGGTAGTCATGGTAATAAATTAACAACAGAGATGACTGGTATTCCCCGAGCAGTGATGATAGTCATGGTAATAAATTAACAACAGAGATGACTGGTATTCCCCGAGCAGTGATGGTAATCATGGTAATAAATTAACAACAGAGATGACTGGTATTCCCCGAGCAGTGATGGTAGTCATGGTAATAAATTAACAAGAGAGTTGAAGGTCACACAAGTAATGGATGAAGCGGTCGTAAGACAACTTATACATATATATTAAACAACGAAATGTCCATACATGCACTTGTACATTGCAACTAGGGTTGCACTACACGTCACTGTAGCTTTAATAGTGATATATTATGAAAAATTAAAGGATAATAGCTCACAGCTGTCACTCATAAAATGGCTACGCGAGACGAATCTTGATATACACTAGAGACTGAGGTATGTGCAGTGTGTGTAGAAAGCTAATATCTTACTAGGTGTGGAAGATGAAGGTGGTGGTGGTGTGTGTGGTGAAGATCACAGTTGTCTTGGTAATGGCCACCACCATTACCACCACCATTACCACCACCACCACCCACACCAACAATATCGTCTCTTACTTCCTTATACTACCATCTGCACTTCACTGCAGGCTGCTGCACCTCCTGTAGTGTGTCCTGCACGTCTCCATGAGGGTAGGGTTACGATGTGTAAGGTAAAGTACTAATAAATTACCTGTAATGTGAGAATCAATACAGTGAGTGTGCAGAGTGATGGCGGCCAGCGGCTCTTCCCACACTCTTACATATTAACACATCAAAAATAATTAACTATTACTCTAATACATTATTTATTAACCAAATAAATTAGTGTTACACATAAATTAAACTTTTAAACACGTACATATCATAAAAATATAAATTCAGTAAAATAATTATTTAGTTATTAAATATACAGGAAAATGATAAACCCGTATTATTGAGCACTTTTATAATAGAAGATAATCTCATTTGATCCAAGGAGGAGGAGGGTTGCTCCAGATCTTTGGATCTACAGCTCATTACCAACATTAATTAAGGCACTTCCCTTCAAGGGATTTCATATATAAATATTCATATTTCGTGTTTTTGGCACGGAATCCTATAAAAATCTAAGCCTGCCTAACAAATAAACCATAAAAAATTAAATAGTTATTAAGAAACTTTTCATACTGCCTTAAAAAGAAGTGAATAAGAAATTTCAAAGAAACGCATTTTCCTGCTGAGTCTCATCATAATAAACACCACATTATGTTGACAATTTTACTTTCATTTAAAAATAAAAACTTAATGTCCAGAATTTCTAACGTTTTCTTACATAAGCATGTATTATATATATATATGCTCAATGGAGAATGATAAAGTATTTGTGATAACATGTGAGTGTCGTAACTCTGGTATCAAATAGTAATGGGCGTACATATTTTTCTCTACGATATCAATATACATTGCACTAAAACTTATAAAACGTGAAGTATACTCAATTTTATTAATATTCATGAAAGCATCAATTATTTTTTTGCTGCAGAGAGTTATAAATGGTTGTGTTATAAGGTTGGTAGAGGAGAGTCAGACGTGTCAGCTGCTCTCTGGTCATCACACCCCTCAAGGAAGGTTCCTTGATGTTGTTGAGGGGCTCTTGATTTAGGGAATTGAATCTGTGCTCCAGTTCCCTGAATTAAGCCTGAATGCCTTCCACATCCCCCCCCAGGCGCTGTATAATCCACCGGGTTTAGCGCTTCTCCCTTGATTATAATAATAATAATCTGGTCATCACAACATATAAATTCTACTTTCTCGTGTGTGCTTATAAACAGCTTTTATTTTAATCAAGGAGAAATGTAAAGCCGTAGGGGGTCATACAGCACTTGGGGAATGTGAGGTAGTCAAGGCTGATCCAAGGAAGCGGAGGATAAATAGTTCCTTGGATCAAGAACCCCTGAGGGGTTCTTACTATGGGGGGGAGGGTATGGCTGAAACTAGATCTACGCTCCATTTCCTTGAATCAAGTCTGGATGCCTTCCGTTCCCCCAAGCCTTGTATGACCTACGAGTTTAGCGTTCCTCCAAGAATGTAGTAATGATGCCGGGAAAAGTCATGGCAGTTCCAGTTGCAGTATACCCGGAGGGTGTTTCAGGGGGTCAACGCCCCCGTGACCCAGGTTATGACCAGGCCTCGTGGCAGATCACGGCCTGAGCAACCAGTCTGTTACTGCTGGCCTCACGTAAACCGACGTATGAACCACAGCCAAGACTGGACGGGAACTGACTTTAGGTGCCTGTCAAGCTACTTCTTAAAGACAGCAAGGGGTCTATTGGTATTCAATTCAATTCAGTTCAAGTTTATTCTCTATAATGGTTACAATGTGGGGTTTACAGGTTTTGGGTATTTTGTGGTTTACATGTTATAAAATACTAATTACAGAGGGGGCCACTAGGACACCTAGCATGGCTAGGCATTTCGAGCAGACTTAGATTAATTCTTAACATTAAGTCCTTTCAGATTATAATATTAAGGCTAAGTGACTACATCATAATTTTGAGTTTAGCAATGTGAATGCTTTTGTTTTGGCACAATACAAAGTGTCTATATTTGAGTAACATGGGCAAACTTATGACTAGTTAGGATTTATTATTTTAAGATTAAGATTAGTATTTCTGGGTTTATAGTCAGTGGGTGAGTGAGTGTAATTGTGAACCACCAGGTGGTTATCATGAGTTAGTTGTGGGGGTGTATCAGGAGATAAAGATGTTTCTAACTGGGTTTTAAAAGTGATAAAAGGTCTGCTTCTAGATTTTTCAGGGGGGGTGTTCCAGATTTTGGGCCCTTTAAATCACTGAATTTTTGAAAAGGTTTTTAGTCAACCCGGGGAATGTCATAAAAGGTTTGTGCGGGTGTTTTTTCCTGTGGATCCTGTCACAACTATCAAAAAGGTTTTACCAAAGGTTTTAATGTTAATTTAATCTTGATATAATTGCACTATAATGTAAAGTCTGAACAGGAGTATTTTTGATCTAAAGAGGGGAATTTAAACAACAAGACATTTCCCTTCCGGGGTATTACCCCTTTCCCAAAAAACCCCTTTTCCCCCTTTTCCCCCCCCAAAAAAAACTTTTCAAAAACCCAAAACCCAAAGTTCGTCTTAAAGCCCTGATCCTTAGTGTTTATAACTTATCACACAGAACACTCTTTCAAAAATTATTTCGTCGTTTCGTTCACCTCCACGGTGCAGCTGGTAGTGCTGCGTATAAGGGTATTTTCCATAAAAAATTTGGAGCCGCATCAACATCGGGGCCTCTCCCCTTCAAACAAACTTTTGCATACCCCTTGCATCAAAGCGTCCATGATCTAAGACGACATTTTAATTTAATATTCTCTTCCCTAAATCTCTAATCATTAAGTATAAATTGGGGATGCTTGTGTCAAACCAGCTGGGAGGGTAAGATTGGGACAGGGGGTTCATGCAATTTTGGGGTTCCCATCTCACATTGGTTTTCAATGCATATAGAACTAATAAATTTGGCTAAGGTATGTTTTCAAAAGGGGGTTAAATTAAATTTTGGGTTGTCAGTTAGCAGTTTGGAACATTAATACGAAAAGAACTTCAAATGAACTTTATTGTTTTTAAGACTTGGGGGAATTGCACAATCAGTGATCTATATCATTCCATCATGCGGAGAGCCCATGTCTAGGTGCACCAACAAGATAAGCAAACTCTTGGATGTCACTACCGCCCGGCCCGGCGGGGTTAAAGAAACTTTGGCGGGTTTAAATCACCCCCCCAATGTAGCCAAAACAAGTAAACTTGCCAGATAACTATTGTCACCCCTTGCGTCATATTACGGGATTTATCAAATTAATGAATTTAAAACAACTCATCAAAATTTTAAGAAATGAAAAGTTTTTTATCCACGTGGTATATTACAGACCATTTGGGAAATACCCTGATTTGCTAGTGTAAATAATGCATTCCATTGTTGTTTTTTTGTGTGTGTTGTGTGTGTGTTGGTTGTGTTGTGTTGTGTGGTTGTGTGTTTTGGGGTTGTACTCATTTTTTTGGGGTTTTTCGGGGGCGAGGGTGTGTACCCCCTATTTTGGTTCAGGGGTCTCCTAGCCCCTGCCCCGCCTCTTCCCCGGTTGCACTAACCCTCTCTTCCCCGCTCCATGATTTTAAATAAAACCTGTTTTAAAACTGTTAGGGTTCTCCTCCACTACGTCTTTTTCTGGGCTTTTCCACTCCCTTACAACTCTATGACTAAAAATATTTCCCACTATCTCTCAACCATTTGTGTCTTAAATTTCCAATTGGGGCCCTTTTGTTTCTGTGTCCCCCCCGGGGAACACCCTTTCCCTTCCAACCTTTTATTCCACCAGATTTTAATGTCTTATCATTCTCCCGCCCCCCTGTCCTCCAGTGTCTCGGGGCCATTTCCCTTAACTTCTTCATGGGAAATTTCCCCCTTACTCTGGAAAACCCTTTTTAAAAACCTTTTACTTTTCTAGTTTCTTGACTGCTTTATCAATGCGGGTTCCAAACGGGTCTGCTACCCCGTATGGGCCGACATACACTTACAGTGTCTTGAATGATTCCTACAAGGTGTGGGAAATGTGTTCTCTTTTTGCCAGGCGCCCATAGCTGCACAGTTTCTGTTGAGTGTCTTCCGGAACATGGGGTGTTTACTCCCCCAAGATTTTTCTCCTTGAGGGGGTTTTCAGTTTTTGGCCACCTACCCATCTTGTTTTGGGGTCTTCGGCCTTCCCTATCTTCATGATTTGCATTGCAGGATTAAATTCGAAACCCATTTGTTTCCGGGTTGCCCCATTCCCCGGGTCTCTTTGAAGTCCTGCCTGGTCCTCTTTCAGATTTAATTTTTCCTCATTAACTTAAATCATCTGAAAACAGGGACACTTCTGATTAAACCCCTTCCGTCATGTGTTCACTTTAACCAAAAACAGGGTCCTGGGACCGCCCCCCCTGGGGCCCCCGCTGTCACGGTGCCCATGTGATACATCTTACGTACCATAATCGTTGTTGCCTCCCTGTAAAGGTATTCCTTGATCCTTGCAGGCTCTTCCTGTTATATGGCCTGATGCTCTACTTCTGCACTAATCTCTTGTGAGGAACTGTGTAAAAGGCCCTTTCTTGCGTCAAAAAGATCAATCAACCCACCCCTCTCTCTTGTCTTACTTCTTTATTTTATCATAAAACCCCAAAGGGTTTTGTGACACGGGGTTTTCCCTTTCCCTGAACCCGTGCGGGTTGGGCATTTATACTCCTGTTCCTTTCCCAGGTGCCCCCCACTCTCCCGGATAATTTTCTCCATAATTTTCATACTAAAACACGTAATACACAGGTCTTAGTTTTTTGCCTCTTTTCTGTCTCCTTTTTTGAAAAGGGGAACTACATTTGCCGTTTTCCCCTTCCCTCGGGTAGTTCCCCATTTCCGGGGAGTGTTGAAGTTTGTGGTAGTGTACGCAAACAATCTCCCCCTCAAAGGGGACCCAGGGAAGATGTTGTCCTCCATTGCCTTTAGGTTCGATTCCCTTGAGTTTCTTCACCTCCCATCTTATGTATGTCTCCAACATTTTGGTGTATTCCTTTTTTTCCCCCATCGGGTCCCCCCCCCAGATCCTTCCTGTCTCTACTGTAAAATTCCCTTTAAACCGTTTTGAGCTCCCACATACCTCTTGATCGTTTTTTGTGAGTTCTCCCCCTTTTTTTTTTCCCAGCTTATCACGGGTCCTTGACTGTTGTTT